GGATGTAGTTAGCGTGCCAAGGCCCTTTAGGCTTCGCGCCTCCGGGCGAAATAAATTCCATCCATCCATGGCCGCCTTCACAGACTACTGCCTCCCTCCCGAATCCTACTTCGAGTCGCGTGAGGCCTTATTTGAGTCAATCAACTCGTGGGTTAAGCCAAGAGGCTACGCTTTTACCACTCAAAGGAGAAGAATGGTACTACGACAGTTATCTATGCATGCGATCGATCACGCAACCCTCCTGATAGCTTGCTGGAGCGTCAGAGAAGAACAACAACTCGAAAGACGAATTGCCCTTTTTCAGTCATAGCAAAAGAGACGACTGACGGCGGCTGGACTCTAAAGCATCGTCCTGATCAACGCTTTGCCGTACACAACCACGAAACCCATCGGCTCACCCAGTCCACCGGCAACTCTCTGGAGGCACATCGCAACTTGCAAGCCTTTTCGAATGCTGGGATCTTGCCGAAGGAGATCCAGACACTCGTACGGCAGAGCGGCTCGCTAGCTACAAGGCAAGACATCTACAACCGGATTAGATGCTCGTCAAGGCGAGCCTCTTCTTCTCGACCACTTCCATTCGCACTGGCATCTAGTACGCAAGGGGGCTCCGCAGTTACTCCTTGAGCCTCGCCAGCGCATTGAGCCAATTCGAGCTCAGAGCTCACTTCCAAGGTCAAGTACTAAGCGGAAACCGAGCCAGTTTGAGGTAGTTGAGGCAACGCAGGCGACACGGGCTAAGCGGCCAAGTCAATGTACAGCTTGCGGTAAGTTTGGCCATACAAGGGCCTCGAAAGCATGCCCTCTACGCTATTCGGATGTACTGTAGGAACTGTAGTTAACTTATCTGTTGGCTGGTGTTGCGCGCGTCGGGTGGTGGCCGCGTTAGATGCATTGTTGGGTGCTTAGATAATCGTTGTGCTTATCTAAGCGACACGGACCCGTCAGTTTAGAGGGAGCCGAATGGCTAACTTAGCTAAGTACCTACTTAGAAAGTTAAGTTAATCCGAGACGACATGCAACCCAGCTTCTAGCTATGCCCCCCAACCTCCCTTACTTCGCCTTCAACCAATGCTTCAAACTCTCCAGCATATTGATAGTAATGTCTTGCAACGAGTGGCGTTGCAGCCCCACGGTCTGTTTCGCAGTTACGCTAAACTACGACTGCCGCAGTTGCCACAAGGCCCAGTTATGCTATATTTACGCGGCCCAAAAGCATCCTGGAACAGATCAAGGCACAGGAGGACATCCAGGACGGCGATTTAGGTCCAAACTACAATGACTGGCCGTTCATTCTGTCCAAGAAAGCCTCGTATATCCAAGCTCGGCTTCTCAAGCGGCACCCGAGGACATCGTGGATTGCTGATTACGGCGTTTTCCTTGTCGAGATAGATCGCGAAACGGGTGCTGAAGGTCCAACTTCTTGGTGTTGTGGTCTCTGGAGAAGTCTACGCTGTCAAGGCGACATCGAGTGCAGCCAACCACCTGGAAAAGAAGCATCGTCGGTATCGCGATTCTTCAGAATCGGAACCTCCTACCAAGAAGAGAAGGACCGTATTGCCGCAACAACGTGATGCCACGCGAATACCGGTCGCTAGCTCAACAGAAGACTGCTTTATAGAGGCGATCGTTGATTGGGTGGTCAATAACAACATACCTTTCCGGGGTATTGAGAATGGGGCTTTTCGCGATATCCTGATGCTTCTGAATCCCTCGCTGACCCGGGCGCTGTTGCCGGAGTCCCACCACACGGTCAAGGCATGGGTTGGGGCGCGGTATCTCCGCGAATTCGACGTGATCAAAACGATGTTGGCGGGTGCCAGCACGAAGAGACACCTTTCCTTCGATCTTTGGACCTCACCAGATAGTTACGGCTTGCTAGCTATCATCGCCCATTTTCTTGACGCCAACAAGGCGTTGCAATGCCCTCTTCTTGGTATCTACCGAGTCAAAGGTAGCCACAGTGGTGAGAACGTTGCCATTGTTTTGCAGCACTGTCTGCAGTCTTTTGACGTTGATGAAGCTCGCCTGAGATATTTCCAGTTAGACAACGCGGAATCCAACACCACCTGTGTTTTCCGTACTATTCGCGACGGCAGGACTGTTGCCGAAGCCAGTCATTTTCGGACCCGGCGCCGAATTCGTTGTTTTGGTCATCATCAACCTCGTTGCTAAGGCTTTCCTTGAGGCTGATAATTCAAACCTCCTGAAGACTCTTGAGCTGAGCTCGCAAGAAAGGCTCTCTGTTGCCATTACGTTCGCCGCAGTCCTCAGCGCCGCGATACTCTTATTGCCATTGTCCGGCGCCGACTTGCGCAAGAAGACCTCGAAGACCTGGGCATCACGGTTTCCGGCGAAAATCTTCCTTCCAAACAACTTGTTGCTGACAACGATACCCGCTGGAATTCGGCCTACGCGATGATCGAACGTGCGCTTCGTCTGCGTGATGAAGTTGATGCTTTCTGTATGATGGCGCTGCGCGAGAAGGACAAAGACAGGCGGTTGGATCAGGAAGATCAATTAGGGCTGGAAGACTGGGAGATATTAACGGCCGTCAAGACCATACTTGAGCCGTTGCAGCGACTTACCAAAGAGTTCGAGGGTAGGAATCCCCGCTTTGCTGAGGTTATCCCGACTGCTTGTTGGCTTCTTGACGACCTCAGGGAAAGAATGTTGCAAGCCGACGAGCGCCTTGCCTTCATGCCTTTTGACAGCCCTAATATCCCAGCAGTGGATCGTGGGTATGGTGTTGCGGCAGGCTCTTCCATCACGGTAGGCGTCGCGCCCGCTCCCGAACTTCACAATGGCAACGACATCGACAGCAATGACGGCAATGCCGGCAACGGCCACTCGCCCGGGGACTAATTCAGGCTGGCCGCAGCGGGTAAGAAGCCTGCCCAGGCGCTTTGACGGCCACGAAGTTGACTTGCCTGGACATACACCAGGGCAGGTGCTGCCGCCTGACATCACTCTCCTTGGCCCTAAGGAAGGACCTGTCGGCGCTGAAACATCCAAGTTTGAGCTTGGTGATGAAGGCATGCGGTATGTCCAAAAGAGCCTCGACTTCGCTATTGTCAAGCTGGCGAAGTATATTGATTTGATGGAGGAGAACCCGGTTTATTGGGCGGCCCTTATACTGCATCCTGCTTACAAGACCAAGTGGTTGACTGAATACTTGGAACCGGACCGGGTAGCGAGTATTAAGATCGAATTCAGGGTGTTTTACCAAAAAGAGTATGGATCTGTCGACGTCGAGCTGCCCAATCAACCTGCTCAGTCACCGGCTCAGTCGCCAGGCCAGTCCTCGGCTCAGTTAGTTGCCCAGCTGCTTGCCGAACAACGTTGACTTGCCCAAGAAGGCAGTCAACGGACTGCCTGGACCAACCGCTTAGTGCCGCATCGCCACACTTTCTACGCTCGCCGGCCGGACCCTGCAACCAGGGATGAACTTCAGGCCTGCTTATCTGAAGAACCTGAGGAAATCGACAATGCTGTGGAGTGGTGGTTGAGCCCTGGCAGAAGGAGCGACTTTCCACGCCTATCCATCATGGCGTTAGACTTGTTGACGATACAGGCGATGTCTTCAGAGTGCGAGAGGGTATTCAGCAGGGCCAAGCACACAGTTGGCCATCAACGTCACCGCCTAGATGCTGATGCTATCAATATAGTAGAGAGCCTTAAGCAGTGGAGTCGGCTGCGATAGGGGGTTCTGGTTTGGCTCTGGGGGCTGGAGAGTAGGGTGCTTAAGTCTGGACAATATTTTTCGCTGTATTTACATAGTTAAGTAAGGTCTTGGCGTTGAGTTGCAACTCGGCAACTCAACTCAACTTGTGAATAGACTCAGTCAACTCAGCTGGCCGGAGACCCCACTCAACCTAGCTTCAGGGCCGAGTTGAGTTGAGTTGAGTTGTTGCCCACCATGACTCACGTCGTACCTCCTCACACACCAGAAATTCCACGTCGCTCCTTGACTCGGGGCCTCATGGGGAAAGCTCGGCATGTTTGTCATACAGCTTGACATGTTGTGTTGGTTGTGTCGTACGGATCGGCATGTTTACGGAACAGCTCGACATGTTTAGGCAACTTCCACCATGTCCGTACTGCTCAGAGTACAGGATTACACTAGTCTTGGTTGCGCTGCTTGTAAATATCGCGCTGCTTGTTACTGCCGTGGCCATTACCGTGCTTCAGCAACAGCTGTTCCTCTCCTCTCTGTCGATCGAGTTTGTTTTTGCTTCTGGAACGGACACCGAGAATCCTTCATACGCATGGACGGCGCCTGAGACTTCAACCAGCTTCCAAGCGTCGTTGTTCAGCGTGTCATACTCCGTGTCGCCTGGCCCAAGGCCCCTGGCAGCTGAAAACACGTTTCGGTTCGCCAGCCACTTGGCCACTTGAAGGAATACAGCTGGTAAACTTGCTCCTAGGCTGTCTGGAAGCGATATATGTTCTAGTGGCCACGAGCCCCTGATCATAAAAACAAGGAGCAACTGACCTTACATGCACTGAGTGTAGGCGGTAATGAGCCGCCCTGTGCTGGCACATCTGCAGGTGTTCCATTGTTGGCAATCCTTTGATTCAAAACAAAGGGATGATAGGGTCTTAGCGAGGGATAGTGTCGAGAATAGAGATGGGGCATACATTACTTTGTCTCGTACTTTAGGAAACAAGCAATGGCTCTAGGAAAGAAGGGAAAGGAAGTTTTTGCTACCTCGCTGTTAAGGTGTCTTCTTCCTTTCTTTCGCTTCCTGCTTTGCCTTTGTCTTTGCTGCTTTAGCAGCCCGAAGTTGAGCGAGGCCACCAGCTCCTGCCCCCTCTATCATAGTCCACTTAATGCCAAACGCAAAGAAGAATCCCAGAGCCGCTCCGCCAACAGCGACAAACTGTTTTACTGTCAGACCAACATAACCGTCTTCGGAGTTGGGAGGGCAAGGAATACTTGACATACAAAAACCCTGGTTATTGCTCCATTGTATGCCTCCAGGACCGAGCTCAACAAGTCTGGGAAGTTCTTCTCGACCACAATTCGCATACCTTTTAATCCTGCACCGAGAAGTGCAGTCATCTGGGAGTGCGTAAGTTCGGTCTCCTCTAGTCGTGAGATAAGCTCGCTGTTGAAGACTGTGCCCGCAATGACCTGGAGAACCGTGGCGCCGAGATACTGCATAAACATGACGAGCGCAATGCCAATAGGCACAAGGTCGGGCATGTCCTTGAGCTCGACTTGAACACAAAGGGAACTCATTTGCATCCCGAAGCCGGCGCCAAAGCCCTGGATAACCTGGTAGCCTATCCAGTGGCTCGCGGGAGTTCCGAACGTGGTGAACGTGGTGTACAATACACTGGAGGTGCACATGAAGATGGGCGCAACGAAAAACCAGGGGTTGTAATACCTGATCCTCATTGCTTCGTTTGTGGAACCGCCGGTCAGTAATTGTTTGGAGAAAGGGAGAGGCAAATATTAATGAACTCACCAAGACCGCTGGCTGCCATGGTCGCAACAATCTGTGTGATGACAGTTGGTAGCATACGGACGCCGCTGTCCAAGGGACCGACCCCTTGAACGACCTGGAACCAGGCAGGAAGGTAGTAGGACGCAATGGTCAGGGCGCCCATGTGGGTGAATGCAAAGAGGCAGGTAAACACGACTGTCCTCCTCAGTACCACCTTGCCGGGTATCATCGCCTGGGTCCCTTGGCGCCATTCCCAAGCCACAAACAGCAGCAGCGTCACACCTGCGCCGACGAAGAGTCCAATGACAGTGGCGGAGTTCCAAACGCCGTCCTCACCTCCAGTCTGCATTGCGAGCAAGAACATGAAGATGGCTGGGACGAAGATAAAGCACCCGCTGAGATCCAGGCTTTGGATTCGCCCGCTGACGCCACCGCCACGTCCCCTCTTGGGTCGGAAGAAAAAGGAGATGACAGCCAGGGTGATGACATTGAATGGGATGTTGATCCTGTACCGGCACAGTTAATGGTATGGAGCTACAGGTAGCCAGGCCGTGCCCTTAAAAAGAGGGACAAGAGATAACGTACCAGAAGCACCATCGCCATGTCAGGCGATCCGTAAACCTGGTACACAGAGTTAGCATCATGGCCTCTCGAAGTCTCGGGGATTGTTGGGGGGCGTACGCTCCACCTAGCAATGGAGCAAAGACAAGTCCGACCCCGAAGCATGCAGCGCCAAGTCCCATGAAGATTGGTTTCTTCGTAACTGGCGCGATTGTAACAAGGATCGTGAGCCCATTGCTGGCGACTCCCGCAGCACCGATGCCTGCAATAGCTCGACCGGCGATGAAGGGCACTGCTCACAGGCGCGCAGCCGCAAATGATGCTTCCGACAAGGAAAACAAAGGTAAAGGAGCTGTAAACGAGGTCGAGCGGGAACACGGATGCCATCTTACCCGCGACGGGTGTTAACGCGCATGTCGCCAGCGTGAAAGCCGCCGGGTACCAAGCGAGGTTTGTAGAGTCACCAAATTCGGACATGATGGATGGGAGAGCCTGAATACCATTGTAGTACCGCGCACGCACCTGTCAGCTACCACTTTGCTTTGTCGGGCCACCAGTGGCAGCCCGTTGGAAGAGACATGGGTCAGGGCGTCAGGCCTTACAGTTCCGATGATCGAGATGTCGAGCGACATCATAAGAGCGCCGAAACAAACACCGATGGCCACGACCCACAGTTTGTAGCCTTCAAGGGCTGCATCGTCATCTACCTAGCCCTCCACCATGGCTTCCTCGTCCTTGGCCGTATTATGCTGTGGGGCATGAGTCGGCGCCAGCTCAAGGGCGGTCTCGTGGCTTTCGACGCCTGTTTGGCGCTCGGAGATGGGATTCTGGGGAGAGCGCGAAGTTTGGGCCGTGGAAGGAGCCATGCTGCCAGATGCTGAGCTCGAGGGTGTTGTCGCTGCTCCGAGGATGGTAGGAGACTGGCCGGACTCTGGGAGCTTGGCCAGTCACTGTTCACGACAAGCGCTGACAGGGGCTGGGAAACATGGGTTATCTGAAAGGGCAAACCCCGCTCTCGCCGGACTCTGCGCCAGGAAGAAGTGTGGTGGCAAGCGATGGGACGGCGCCGCAGATTGGCATAGATGGATGCATGCTGCAGGAATTTATTGGTTGTTGGTTGGCTAACCGACCAGTATTCATTAACCGCTCAGCGGCGTAGGTAAAACCCGGTTTCAAGCCGGCTGTCAAAGCCGGCGACTTCTTCCCGTCCTTGCGTTTGCCGCTTGGGTGCGACTGGCGTGGGATAGTGCTGCATCTGGCAGCACTGCGTCGAAGGCGGTGAATGTAAAGATGAAAGTGTAGACTGTATGGTCGTTGTCCGGAGTGGCCTGGAGTCTTGGTCGTATAACTATATCCTTGTCCATCTTTGCTTTCCTAATTCAGGTTAGACACAGCTCCTGAGAAAAGCCTCAAGACAGATAATGTTCAACCGAACAGCCCAGGGGCCAGACGTGATATTCGGAGTGCTTTCCGTCGTGGCTAGTCCTCGACCTCCTTATCTTAAAGTGTCCTGCAATGTTTCATTGCAGTCTGCCATGCGGTCGACCGCCAAGAGTTGACAACATTGCCAAAACGATGCCGCGGACGATGGAGCGTAATGGCTGCTGCCAACCGCATCCCCCTCAACCAGCCAAGACTGCGGAAGGTCACTGAAGGAGCGAACAAGTCCCCTGTGTCCGGACCCCAACCGCATATCAGCCGCAGCCCTGCGTGGGCATCCTTCAGGGGCCCTGGCCGAATGTTGCAAAGCTCAGATATGGCGCAACCAGATTTGGGCGGAAGGGTTGTCTTTATCATCCATCCCCTGCGCACTCAGATGTCGATGCCCAGACCACGCTGGCTTGGAGAAAGCTTGTCGTGCATGCCTAGCTTCTGCCAAGTGAGAGCCGCTTCATCTGACTGTTTCGCCGACCACAACCCAGAATGCACCAGCACCACCGGCAGTTGGAGCCCGCCCGCGAAGGCAAACTTAGGGCGGCCTGTGACCGGTGCCACGACCTCAAAAACCGCTGTGTGAGAGTCGGGGGCGTTGACAGTCGTTGTGACAGGTGCGAGAGGCTGGATATCGGCTGCGTGTATCGAAACTCGTCGCGGATGGGCCGCCCGAAGGGGCAAAGAAAGGCATCTGTGTCCCAGAGCGCTCTATCAGGGCCGGGAAACAGCAGGCAAGCCCGGATACCAAGCCTATCCGCTGACGAAGTGCCAGACATGTCGTCGACAACTCCAGGGATTGCGCCTGACAATGGCAACTTGGGAGATGTTGCCAGTGAAGAGACGACTCTTGTTGACTCTCCGTCGGATGGCCTGAGCATTCTTGTCCCCCCTCCTGGAGGTTTGTCTCCCTGGTCTCAGGGCGCGCTGAGTTGTTAAACTGTGGTCAGCGACAAGCTGACAAGGCAACAGGTTTCTCTGCGACAGATCTGGATTGGGACATGGATTTCACCCAACAAATGAACGCTTTACACGTTCCCCCTGCTTTTCACCATGAAAATAGGTCTTCGCCTTGTTCTGGTCGCCGAGGAGATGAAGCTGGACATCTGGATGTTCCGCTTGCAGGTCCATGCAACGACGTACCTTACCGTCTGGAGCCGACGCAGGCACCGCCAGACGGGCTTGTAGAGCTGCAACTCCGGCTCCACCGTCTGCTGTCAGCAGCAGATGAACAGCGCGCGTCCCAGTACGTCCAGGAAGGGCTTGAGGCCGCAAAGGGATTCCTAAGCGTCCTTCAATCGATTCTTGGCCCGCAGCGCCCTCCTTCCGCACAGACCGCTGTCCTGATGACAACGGGCTAGGTGCCGACTTCAGAGGGGAACCCGACGTCCACATCCCGGTCGTGCGACGCTCGCTGCACCGACGTCTCGGCGGTGGGCTACATCACGGTTCAGCAGGCGCTGACGTGCTACTCGTTCGTATTGTTGGTGCTGGATCGCGTTGTCAACGCCCTGCAGAGCACTCGAGCGGGGGATCAGAACCAGTCTGGAGTACTCGAAGTGCCATCGCCGTTGAGTCTAGGGTCCTTCAACCTGGCCTCCCAGCCAGCCCTTAATGCCGAGATGGTGCTCCATCTTGTCTTTCGCATGATTCATCATTCACGATCCCTCATCCATTCACTGGCATTGCAGTGTAAGGATCTTTCCGATGCGTTAGGTGCAACATCGCCGGCCCTGGGAGCCGGGTTGTCTGGGGCAGAGCAGGGTTCTTCCATTGGGACGAGCTGCTCTTCTGCTTCGATAGCAGCCATAAGCCACGCCGCTTCGGACTTCTTGATTGAGAGGGAGCGAGTGCTGCTCGGGCGATTGTCGGTCTTGACGAGAGACGCATGATGGAGCTTGCTGGTGTCTTGTGGCCACTTGAGAAGCCAGGGCGGTTTCGGAAGGGCTATTATAGACCCTATCGAAGCATGACGTCTGTTGTTTCCATTCGCGGTCAGATTATGCTCCGCCTGGGTGGTGTGGCCGGCACTTTTAGCTGTTTCCTAAGAAAACTCACCGGTCTTGCAGATCAAGCTGGGGTAAACGTTGGGTTCCAGGTTGCTACGGTAGTGATTTGATACCCAATGTTCTGTGTGGCTTGGTGACACGACATCCCGGGGGTCACAGCGGTATTTAATCCCATTTCCCTAGAGAATTAAACATCTGTAGTATGTCAGTAGGCTTCCTCAGATGCCTCTTAACAGGCTTAAGTTCATATACCAGTCATTACATTCATTCTTAACTGCTAGTGATTTGAAATGGATCACGAAAAGATCGGCAACGCCTCCTCGCTCCCCGCCATTCTCTGCCTCCATGGCTACGGTACCAATGCGTCCATCCTCCGCTACCAGCTTCGGCACATGACGAAGATTCTCTCTTCCACTTTCCGATTTGTTCTGCCCGATGCGCCTTTCCTCGTCGACCGCCCCGGTCCTGGTGCCTCTTCGGTATCTGTTGGCCCATTCCGGCGTTGGCACTCGGATAGAACCATTGCTACTGCCTTCGGAGTGCCAGAGGCGAAGATCATGGAAGAGACTCTGGTAGTACGAGACATATTGAGACTGACACTGGAAAGGGAGAAGGATGTGGTGGGTGTTCTGGCGTTCAGCCAAGGCGCATGCTTGGGGACGGCTCTCTGTTTGGACCAGGAACTGAACAACGGGCTGAAGTTTGCTGTGTTCATCTGCCCTCTGTTCCCAGCGGTCAGTTTGGGGCCCCAGAAGGATGTGGAGGGAGCAGTCCAGGTGCCGTGTGTGCATGTAAGAGGCCTTTCAGATCCTTGGAAGGGTCAAGGCGTCAAGCTGTACGAAAAATACTTCGTGGGATCGAGGGCGAGCACACTTGTTGAGTTTGCAGGGGCACATGAAGTTCCAAGTCAGCCGTCGGACATAGAGAAGGTGGTGGATGAAATATTGCGAATATGGGAGGCGATTGGGTGACGGGCTGATCAAGGTGCGAAGACAGATACATTCTAAAATAACAGCTACAGCTCCCTATCGCGAACCTGCCCTCCATTCACCTTGAACTTGTACTCCATGTAGCCCGAGTAGATGTCGAGGTTTCCCCACAACGTTTTTCTGTTCATCCACTCGGGGTGGTTGACGGCGTCAGGCCAGTCACTCTGTTCAAGGGATATGGCACCATGTCTGGGAACCTCACCCTCACCCTGAGATTTCTTCAGCCTCAGGGGTCCTAAACAACGGATCAGATGCGCAATAGACTTCAAATTGACACCAAGGAGGGGTACAAATCAATACTTACCCGTTTGCTCCTCGCTCCAGGTGTGCACACGAAGAGCATCTTGATCCGTGTAAACCTCCATGGTAATTCCCGACCATGATGACGATAGAATGGCTGCGGGCTTCTGTCTCCGGCTGCTGTCGGCGTATTTGTGAGCGAGGGTGAATGTCTGGTCATACGAAGAAGCAAGCTCGCCCGAATTGTTGATCAAGACCTTCCCGACGGTCTTTGGACTTGACCAGAAGTCATGTTCCTTCCCCTTGGGGTTACTCAGGATATTGCCGGTAGAAATTCCATTCTCATCAAAGTGAAACCGCATGCCTGACATGGGCAGGTAAAGATAGTGGTCAGTGACCGATCCGATAGTCCCGTTGTCCGTCCTCCGCAGTCCGTTGAGGTTGAAAAACGCTTGCTGGGCCATATTAAGAGGTCCTCCCGGCAGTAGCAAGGGCGTGACTCCATAGCCGATGTGCCAGGTGTAAGGGGACACGGTATGGGTCACGCAGCCAACAAACAGCCCCGGGAAGCCATTCTTGCCTTTGTCGAACATGACGAATGTGATGCTGTCTTTCTCGTTGGATGGAACCGCCCAGTCAAGCCGACCCCAACTTTTCTCCCCCCCGTTGAATGTCGCCGTCCCTCCGTGCGCGTTGGCCAAAAGCTGCTGTTTGACGCCTTCTGCTTCGTAGCCTGCATCCCTGATGTACCCCGCATACCGTCCTGATTCAGCATGGCCTATAAGCATGTTACCTTGTTACTGCTCATGAGTTTTTCTTACCGATAACTCCGTTCAAGTAGGGATTGGAGCTTGTTTCTGGGTACATATCGGCGTGGTCCAACCCGAGGACAATATCGATCTCATCGCCGTCCCGGTCCCGCACCCATAAGTTGGCGACGGCCGCACCGTGATGCGTGAAGGAAATCTTGATGCCCTCGGCCTCGATGGTGTATTTGCCCTCGTCATTGACCGGCCACATGGCGGTGAGTGCCGCAAAGGGACTGCCGCCTTTCCATACTGCTTTGGCTGTTGCAAGAACACCAGCAGAGAGTTTGCGGAGCTCAACCATGGCTAGCCAGAGGTGTACCGTGTACGTGTTGGACAGCAAGGACGTAACGAGGGGTTTGAGTTCTGGAATCTGTTCTCATGCTACGACAAGGATGGCGAGCTCCAAAGTCCGGCAGTCCAAGGGTGAGCAGACCTCTGATGGATGATGGGTTACTAGGCGCTATGGTGGCATTGACGCTATCATGTTACATCCACCGCCTCGACCGGATACGGCCGGCTGACCGGCTCGCTGGAGCTACGTACGTGACCGGCGACTTTTCACCCCGGTTCAAGTTGGGCACAAAACCGGCCACTCTCCAGATCTGGTCCAACCTGGCCACGGAACCGGCGACAAATTCATTGCCGGCACTTCATTGCGCAATACCAGCCTCAGTTTAATGAGTTACTTCCAAACGGATTCATGCCCATTTGGGTAACATTGGTATTTTTTCAGCGTCCCATGATAAATGCAAGATACCAGAGAGCTAAGATATTACCGTTGAGATTGTGGTAAGGCATTGCAAGTCATGAGGGACGGAATGCTAGCAGATGAAGGCGCCACGATAAATCAACCGCATCTCTGAACACAATGCGTGACTAAGATGGCGGATCACCTTAGAATTTCGGGTGCAGAACTCAGCTGAAGTCATATGTCATATACGCGTAGCGGGTCGAGGCAACACCTTTCCCCCTCATCCATAACTGATTTCGAATTGGCTTAGTTATACGCCAACGGCTGTAACCGATTCAGGCAAGCTGCTGCTTTACCGCTACTGCTCACGCACAACTCTGAGCCTTGCCATCATGCCTTCCTCAGACTTCATGAATGGAGCAGGTCTGACCCGACCAGCTGTTTCCAGGTTGGCAAGCTCAATCTCAAACCGACGTACCAATGCCGCAACAAGGCATGCAATCATTGCCCTTGCATAACTTTGCCCAATACACGTCCCAGGTCCCGCACCGAACGACAGCATAGCGTAGGCATTCGTCGCACCCCCCGAACCTTCCCCGTCCCCAAGCCACCGGTCAGGGTTGAACTGGTCCGAGTCCGCCCCCCAGAGCCGAACGTCTCGGTTGAAGGCCTCCACAGGTATCAGCATAATGGTGCCCTTGGGAATGTGCTCTCCCAGCAACGTCGTGTCCTTTTCAGCGACGCGGGAGCTGAGTGGGACGAAGGGGTAGTACCGAATTACCTCGTTGACAATGGCGCTGAGGTAGGGGAGCGCCTGTAAGTGCTGAACCAACTCGACGCTTGACGTTGCGGACAGGGGCAGGCAGTTGCTGACTTCCCGACGGAGCCGGTCTTGCATTGTTGGCCGCCGAGCAAGCTCGTAAATGGCCCATTCGACTGCTGTCCCCGTCGAATTCGGCCCGGCAGTCAGGAAAAGCATGCCATTGTCGACAAGCTCCTCGGTAGGGAATATACCGCTTGCAATCGAAATGCCCGTAATATCCAGACCGAGATCCTTTGCGACACAGTCGGACGGAGTTGGTGGGCCACACTTGGCTTGTTTTTCTAACGCGGCATGCCTGACAGTTGAGCGGATTTGCTCCAGTGCCTTCCCTGCCTGTGAGCGCTCCAGTATGGGTGAGAGGACCGCCAGGAGCGGGCGAACGTCAAGGTAGTTCATGATGAAGTTACCCCATTTGATCGCAGGGCTATTGAGCCTGCCGAGTATGCCTGAGAGCCTGTCCCGCGCACCAGCGGTCGGATTTTCGAGAGTGCGACAATCGTGACCCAAAACAGCGAGGCCGAAGATATCCCACATGGTCCGGCGGATATAATCTCGCAGGTCAACTATGTGCTTCGGCTCCTGATCGTTTTCCAGCCCACGCTCAATGAGTGTGATCATCTTGTCCGACTTGCCCCATATAGCGGGCATGATTCTCCTTACGTGGCCCGGTGTAAAAGCAGGCCGAAGGTGTTTGCGAAAGAGCTTCGGTGCCTGAAATTAGCGGATATGCCAACGGCTGTGCTTTGGTGAAAGCAACTTGCCTTGTGTCCATGTGAGCTTAGAAAGTTGAACTTGCTACCCGTGAGCCTGTTGATGAGGTACTGAACGTTCTTGGGGTGGCCAAAGTGATCTGACTTCAGAGTGAACATCTCCTTGACGGCTTCCGTGTTTGTGGCCACTAGCACCTCGGTGCTCAGGGGTTCATAAAACCGGACCAAGCCTCGGCTTGGAATGGTCTCATACGCCGCTCGAATTTCGGGCCATGCATAATCTGGAAAAACCTCTTTCCTATTACCGCGTAGCAAGGTTCGTCCCTAGGTAGCAAAAAAATTAGTTCGCGTTTCCACCAGAACGCATAGGACATGGTGTGCACATACAGGGGGCGTCGGAAGGTGGCGAAATGGCGTGAAGTAGGCGGGATAAAACAGCATCCAGTACAATGCCCACGCTATCAGAGCGACGATCTCAATGGCCAGGAGGATTGTGAGCGAGCTGAACCCGTTGGAGCGGCCAAGGGCCTGGTAAATGACGGCACCGCAGGTGCACACCCAAATGGAGAGCCAGCTCGCAACGAATCCCGGCATCTTGTCAGTGAGGAAGAAAAACGTGCTGTATCCCGGCTTGGAAAATTGCAGACTTTGCGGGTGATACTTCGGAATGAAAGTTGATGAATGGAATTGAAACATAGCATGGCAGAGAATACAGAGAATAACCAGCAGTGACAGCGCAAAGAAGGCGCCGGCCGGCCATCTGCGTTGGCTCAATTGTTAGTTGGAGCCGGCCACTTTTTCTGCGGTTCGACGTGCACAGCTAGACTAGGTATGGACAGGGCACATTCATCAGCCAATATTTTTCCTTGGCAAAGTGTAATACCTACTGCATCTCGTTCGTTTTTGGTCTAACCGATTTACAGCAAAGCTCTTTGCATCCGCGGACCCTTTATTACCTACCCAAGCAGAGCACCTCCATTGAGTCCGTCTTGTCTGCCGCCCAGTCGCACCTACCTTCAACCTCAGGCCTCAGACTCCCCATCGCAGTCAGAATGGCGAGCGCCCCCGAATTTCCACTCAAGCAACGGGCCATTGTTGGTCTCGACGACGGCACACTCTCGATTTCCAACGATGTCTACGTTCCCAAGCTGGAGCATAACGTTGTTCTCGTCAGAACAAAAGCCGTCGGTGTCAACCCCATCGATATCAAGATGAAAGGCAACCTGGCTGCGCCCGGCTGCGTCGCAGGCATGGACTTTGCTGGCGATGTGATTGCTATTGGGCCCGACTCCCAAACGCCTGGCCAAGTCAAGCTTGGGGATCGGGTGTGCGGCGCCGTGATCGGTTATCAGAGATCCAAGCCTACGGCAGGTGCATTTGCTGAGATCGTGGCGGCCACAGACGTGGGCCTCATGAAGGTTCCGGATGCTATGTCGTACGGACAAGCTGCTTCATTGGGATGCGCTATCTCGACGATCGGCCTGGCTCTGTTCAAATCCCTCGACGTACCGGGAAACCCTAAACGTCCTGCCGAGAAGCCAGTAGATGTGTTTGTGTATGGGGGAAGCACCTCAACGGGAACCATGGCAATCCAGCTGCTGAAGATGTGAGTCCAAGCGGGTCCTTTCGTTCGCGAGACCTTCACCAAATCAACTTATCTTTACATCTCCATGTCAGGTCCGGGCTCAACCCTATCACCGTCTGCTCACCGCGCAACTTTGACCTCGTCAAGTCGTTCGGTGCCACAGATGTCTTCGATTACCGTTCCCCCACTTGCATCGACGACATCCGCAAGCGCACTCGAAAGTCGCTCGAGTATGTTCTGGATTGCGTGTCGGAGCCTGAGACAATGGAGTTTTGTTACAAGTGCCTGGGAAGAGCTGGCGGCAAGTACACGGCCCTGGAGCCGTATGCCGAGATCCTCCATACCCGACCACGGACGGTACGACCTGACTGGGTGCTAGGCCCCAGCGTGCTCGGGGAGTCAGTAGGATGGCCGGAGCCGTTCACCCGTGAGTCCGACGAGGAGCTGCGCAGATTTGGCTTGGACTGGTTTGGCACCGTGCAAGCCTTGCTGCACGATGGCAAAATCAGACCACATCCCGTCAAGGTTCTAGAAGGAGGCTTCGAGGGAGTCGCTGACGGATTGGAACAACTCCGCCGAAAGCAGGTTTCGGGGCAGAAGCTTGTTTGTGTTATAGCCTGAGATTACAGAGCCAATCGGAACTGCCATCGAGACTGCCTGATGTATCCACTTGTTGTTGAAGAACCGGCAGGATGTAGCTGAGCCAAATGTTCGACACCACATGAGCCGATTGCGGTATGGTTGTCGTCTGCGATTCGGTTGCCGTCAACGTCTTCTCGTCTTCTGTCCATCTATCCCTTTCTGTTGCCATTGCAGGTAAGAAAGCGGGGTTCTAGGAGATGGAGTTGTGTTCGGTTTGCCGAGTCAGCTCGGATTTTTATTTTTTGTCTAAGTGGCAGTCGAAGTGGGTCTGACGTCTGAAATAGGGCAAGCTTGGCTCAGTTCAATCCTCTTCTCCACCTTCTTTCACACCACTAGCATGCATGATAGGTTCTGGCAACGAAACAAGTATCCCAACTCCTCCAACAACAAGACAGGCTCGTGTGTGCAATATTCCATCAAATCGTGCAGCTGTCTCCATGCCTCCCCACGCAGATTGTTACCCCCGTTCCCAACCGGTCCTGACCGGTGTTCTTTCTTTGGGAACCTTTACTCCGTGGCCAGCGCCGGAAGTTGCGCTGGCTATTAGTTGCAACTGTTGCATCCGGCGGCGGCACACGCTGCGAGCCCTGTAGCGGCACAGCTTCTGCCTGGTCGTACGAGTCCGGCGGCGTTACGGATACCTGCCCCCCGCCACAAACATTTATGTCGCCGTTCCTCCCGACCGGGTCCGGTCATGGTGGGAGGCGGTTTCATGGCTTGTGGTAATGCCGGCTTGGAAACCAACTGGATCTAGAGAGCCTCGGTGTAAAGACTGCACCTGCGGCCCAAGATTGCTTCCCGTTCCTGTTTACTTGAGGTCGTCCCCCAGCAACATTACGACATACGTTTGTTACCCACTCAATTGAGTATTGTCCGCCTTCATCAGACGCCACCGCCAGTGATTTTCCGACTGGAGTTGGACAACATGACGGTCTCACACCAGTGCCTGAACGAGCCTATTGCCATCGTTGGCTCTGGATGCAGATTTCCGGGAAATGCGAACTCACCATCAAAGCTCTGGGACCTCCTCAGCAAGCCCTATGATGTTTCGTCCAGAATTGGCGGCGCTGGCCGTTTTAACTTGGACCGGTTTTGTACGTGTTTCATCGCAGCCGTGGTGTTGGCAACATTTCACGTACAAACAATTCACCAGTGTCAAACAACTAACATTGGGACTTACCTAGATCACCCTGAAGGCGGACACAACGGGACCACCAACACACAACGAGGGTACCTGCTAAGCGATAGTGTCCGCCAGTTCGACGCCAAATTCTTCTCGATTCCGCCTGGCGAGGCCGAAGCAATCGATCCTCAGCAACGCCTTTTGCTGGAGGTTGTGTATGAAGCCGTCGAGTCGGCTGGGTTGACAATGGACAAACTATCAGACTCTGATACATCGTGCTATGTCGGCATTATGTGCCAGGACTTCTTCACGGTGCAATCGCAAGACGTCCTGTCCGTTCCCAAATACGCCGTGACAGGCATCGCGGCCAGCAACGCCTCCTGCCGCGTGTCATACTTCTTCAACTGGCATGGGCCGTCCATGACGATCGACACGGCCTGCTCGTCTAGCATGGTCTGCGTGAGCGAGGCCGTGCAGGCCCTCCGGAGCGGTACCAGCCGCGTGGCCGTGGCGTGTGGCACTAACTTGCTTCTTGCGCCTTTCATGTATGTTTCGCTCAGCAATGTCGGCATGGTGTCACCGACAGGGCGCTGCCACATGTGGGACGACAGAGCCGATGGCTACTCCCGAGGAGAGGGAGTGGCCGCGCTCGTGCTCAAGACATTGAGTGCCGCCATCCAGGACGGAGACGAAATCGCCTGCGTCATTCGTGAGATCGGCTTGAATCACGACGGCAGAACCAAAGGGCTGACGATGCCCAGTGCCCAGGCACAGGCCGCCCTCATTCGAGAGACATACCGCAAAGCTGGCTTGGATCCCAGTCGCAAGTCTGACCGGTGCCAGTTCTTCGAGGCCCATGGGACGGGTACGCCCACGGGAGACCCGCAGGAAGCATCTGCTCTGAACCAAGCCTTCTTCCCAGATCATGACGCCGCCGAAGGTGAGTTGCTCGTCGGGTCCATCAAGACCGTCATCGGGCATACCGAGGGCACGGCCGGCATTGCCGGTATTCTGAAGGCGACTCTGGCCATTCGCCATGGCACTGTCCCTCCCAATCTTCTTTTCAATAGACTCAATCCCGCCCTTGAGCCTTTTACCAAGTTCCTCCGTATTCCCACGGCATGCGAACCCTGGCCAGAGGTGCCGGAGGGTCAGCCTCGAAGGGCCAGTGTCAACAGCTTTGGCTTCGGGGGGGCTAATGCTCATTGCATCCTTGAGAGCTACGAGCCGGCAACGGCCATCACGGCAAACCATCCCCCCATCCACGGTGCCAGGGCCAGTGGCCTACACATCAATGGGGTCAAACTAACCCATTCCGTCAATGGCTCCTCCTCCGAGACTCCCAATAATTCAGCAACTGAAAGCCACGGGCCCGTCACCAACGGCACCACCAATGGGAGCTCTAGACCCCCCGAGCCAGAAGAGCCATCCCAGCCTACGCATCAACTGGATGTTCTTATTTCCATGGTGTTCTCCGCAGCCTCCCTCAAATCTCTCGTCGCCTCGCTCGACGCTAGTATAGATTTCCTGGAGCAGAACCCTACTGTTGACATGCCCAGCCTAGCCTGCACACTCAGCAGTCGCCGGTCAGCACTCGCACTTCGCCTGCCCATCTACGCGGGTTCGGTCGAGGAACTTCGTAAGAAAAGCCAGGAGAAGCTCAGTGGCGACACCAACGCTTCGCACTCGGTCGCGGCCTTACAGGCACCGCCGTCGGTGTTGGGTATCTTTACCGGACAAGGCGCCCAGTGGGCAGGCATGGGATCCAAACTCTTCGCCTCCAACCCAAGAGCCCGCGCCACTCTAGAGCGTCTGGACTCGGTTCTTTCCAGCCTCCCAGCGTATCATCGTCCCACCTGGGCATTGGCTGAGGTGCTTTCCCCCGACAGCAAGCACAGCGACGCCGAGGCAGCCATTTCCCAGCCAGTCTGCACTGCAGTGCAAATTGTTCTGATAGATCTTCTTCAAACCGCGGGTATCAAGTTCAAAGCCGTCGTGGGGCATTCTTCGGGCGAAATCGCGGCCGCCTATGCTACAGGGTACCTCTCGGCTGACGACGCCATGCGCGTTGCATACTACCGGGGCTTCTTTGCCAAGCTTGCTGGGGGCCCCCAGGGCCAGGAAGGAGGCATGATCGCCGCGGGGACCGACTTTGAGGATGCCGAAGAGCTAAGTCGGGTTGACGACATGATCGATCGACTGTGTATAGCTGCACACAATTCACCAACCAGTGTGACACTGTCGGGTGACATTGATGCGGTCAAGCTGGCAGAGGACGTGTTCGCCGATGAGCACAAGTTCGCCAGAACACTGAGAGTTGACACAGCGTATCATTCGCCTCACATGCAGCGATGCGCAGGGCCGTATCTGAGGGCGATGCGGGAGGCTGGCGTCGAGCCACTAAGGCCCAGTCCCGATTCCGATTATCCGAGATGGTTTTCGACTGTCTACAATGTCGAGATGACAGCAGCGGTCGTCGCCGACAAGGGACTCAACGGACAATATTGGGTGGACAACATGGTCCGACCGGTTCTCTTCTACCCTGCGCTTCGGACATGTTTGAGCTCGTCCGAGATCAGTCCTAACTTTGCCCTGGAAGTGGGGCCGCATCCTGCTCTTCAAGGGCCGGCAGTGGAGAGCATCCGGACAGTCACGGGTCAGGACATTGCCTACTCGGGAATCCTCCGACGAGGCAGCGACGACGTCGAAGCGTTGGCTGATGCCCTTGGAGCCATGTGGGCCCGCTTTGGCCCGAAACACGTTGACCTCGCCGGCTTCCAGAAGAAGTGTCTCCCTCAGGGCAAGACAAGGCTCGATGCTCCCCTGGGATCCAGGTTGCCCACATACCCCTGGACCCATGAACATGAGTACTGGGCCGAGTCAAGGAAGAGTAAAATCTACACCACGCAGTCTGGAAAGTTCCATGACCATGACCTCCTCGGCTTGCGGGAGCCGGACGGCCTGGTGGACGAGCTGCGTTGGCGGCACACGCTGAGCGTGAACGACCTCAAGTGGCTTTCCGGTCATACGTTGCAGGGCCAGGTCGTCTTCCCAGCGACCGGATACGTCTGTATGGTTACCGAAGCGGCCATGCAAATGGTGCAGCCGAGTCGCCGGGAGGTGGCATATCTTGACGTGCTGGATCTCGAGATTCGCAAGGCCATTGCTGTCCACCAAGACTTCAGGACCGAGGTGGTCTTGTCCGTGTCCAACATCTCTCCCGCTACGCCGAACGCCACGGCCGAGACCGTCACGGCAGCCTTCAGCATATTGTCTACCCCGAGCCGGGACTCGACGCAGATGGCGTTGCACTGCTGTGGAAGGCTGCGCGTTACTCTTCGACCCAATCCCGAGAGTGGCAATCCGACGGCCAGCGGCATTGACCACGACTCCATATTTCCACCACGCCGCCCGCCCGTTCCGGGGATGAACGGTGTTGATGTCGACCGATTCTACCAGACCATGCGCGATGAGGTTGGTTTGGGATGGCACGGCGCGTTCAGGGGCTTGACCAAAATCACGCGTAGGGCAGGCTACTCGACTGTCACGGCCAGGAATCCTCCATTTTCCGATGCCGACACCAAGCTCCTCTTCCACCCAGCTATGCTGGACTGTGCCTTGCAGGGCCTAAACGCAGCCTTTGCAGCCCCTGGCGACGGCAGTATCTGGGATCTTGTCGCCCCAACGTACGTCCGACGCGTCACGATGGTGCCCGAGCTGCTAAGACGCCATCAAGCCGACGAGCAAGTCGTCATTGACTGCACCTCGACGGTCAGCATTGCCGATACTCGGGCCAAGGTTGCCTTGACCGGCGATGTTGAAGTGTACGCTGGCTTGCCCGAGCCCGGGGGCACCGCAGAAACGAAGCTTATCGAGATGGAGGGCATCAAGATTTCGCCCGTTGCTCCTCCAACCGCCGACCACGACAGGGCGCTCTTCCAGGAGTCCATCATGTGCCTCGATAGCATCAACGCCAAGGTTGCTCGCCGAGGATTGCGCTTTACGCCAGAGGAGAAAGCGAAGGCCTTTGACGCTGAGCGAGTGGCCTTCTACTATCTCAAGCAGCTGCACCTCGGGACACCGCCAAAGTTTCGTGAGACCTTTCCTGGCTACCGGCAGTGTTTGCTAGCGGAAGCCGAGCGTGTGTACCACCGTGTCAAGGACGGTCAACATGGGTTCGCGCCCCCGTCGTGGGTCGAAGACACGGCCGAGTCCATTGCTGAGGTCATGACGCGCCACGATGCTGAGGCCATCGACTTCGTCCTCGCCAAGACGGTCGGCGAGAACCTGATGGTGCCCGAGGTCCTAAACGGCGAGGTCAACATCCTGCAGTTCATGGTGCGCAACAACATGCTCGAGCGCACCTACACCGAGGGCGTGGGCTACCCGATCCTCAACTCCGTGGCCACCAATCTGATTGCGCAACTCTGCCAGAAACATCCGCGCATGAACATGCTCGAGATTGGTGCAGGAACAGGTGGATCGACAGCCTCCATCCTGGGGCGTATTGGAGGACATTTCCGCTCTTACACTTACACCGACATCAGCAGTGCCTTCTTCGAGCGCGCCGCCGAGCGTTTCTCTGCCAACGCCCAGAAGATGGTTTTCAAGACGCTGGACATCACCAAGGACCCGTCAGCCCAAGGCTTTGCAACACACAGCTACGATGTTGTAATCGCGCAGAACGTGTTGCACGCCACGGCGCCACTCAAAGAGTCCCTCCGACACGCCCGGACGCTCCTGCGCCCTGGCGGATACCTGATGTTGCTCGAGCTGCTCCGGAGTGAGTCGATGCGCTTCGGCCTCGTGGTGGGATGCCTGCCCGGGTGGTGGGTGGGTGAGAACGACGGCAGGAAAGGTGGCCCGCTGCTCACGCCAGCCGAATGGCAGGCGATCCTCAGCGAAACAGGGTTTGCAGTCGATACCGTCTCGGAGGTACTCGATCAAGAGGATATTTGGGCTGTGCTCTCGGCGCGTGCCGTGGATGAGCATGTGGTGCAACCCCTGATCAATCCCTTGGCCGTGAGACCTACAGTGCCACGTATGAAGAGGCTGTTGGTGATTGGCGGCATCGACGTTGGGTCCGGGTCCTTTGGATTGCGTGAGCAGGTGATTGCTTTTGTGTTGCCGTACTTTGAGAAGGTGACCTACCTGGCTCAGCTTTCCAACCTAACCCAACAGACAGAAGACGATCTGCTCGCCGACAAAGGTCTTCATGTTCTGAACCTCACCGAGTATGACTCCAACCTTTTCGAGCACATCACCAAACCAGCATTTGAGAACTTGAAGCGGGTATTAGCCAGAGCGGCCAGTGTGCTATGGTTGCTCCAGGGCAGCCGGGACACGAACCCCTGGGCCGGCGCCACCGTCGGCTTCCTCCGGACGGTCCGGTATGAGCTACCGGACACGATACTGCAGATGCTAGACATTGGCGCTACGGCCCTAAACAGCGACTCCTCGACACCCGATACCTCCCGCCTGGTAGCTGAGTCCCTCCTCCGGCTCAGCGAGGCCGCCGAGCTGGAAGCAACAGGGAAGTTGTCTCAGGTTTTGTGGAGCGTGGAGCCGGAGCTTTATCTCGAAAGTGACGGCCATGTGTATGTGCCCAGACTGCGGTGTTCGGAGGCACTCAATCTGCGGTACAATGCAGCCAAGCGTGCCATCACGCGGCCCGTTGAGGTGAACAACACGGAAACGTCTCTCGCCTTGGTCTGGGACAAGACCGGCAGCAAGTATGTCCTTGAAGAGCGGCATGAATTCGCGCCAACATGGTCGGTCAGCGATGGGGTGACTGTCCGGGTATCCTGTTCCTTTCTCTCGTCGCTCAAGACGCCGGCGGGGTTTTTCTTTGTCTGTCTCGGGGCCGACATCAGGACGGGGATCAAGACGCTCTGCTTCTCGGATCGCCAGGCAAGTCTGGTGACGGTTCCACGGTCTTGGACCGTTGCACTAGGCAGCGCTTCTCTCGGCGTCGACGACGTTGGACTCATGTCATTTGTCGCGGTTGACCTCCTCGCCAAGCGGCTCCTCCAGCTGGTTGGTCCAAGCGGAAGTATTGCCGTCTATGACGCGAACCCTGTTGCAGGGGCCTTGCTGTACAAACGCCTTACAGACGTTGGCAAGAAAGTCGTCTTCATCAACTCCGACTTCAAGGCCAGTCACGGGTCCCTGTCAACCATCTCGCTCCACCCGCACAGCCCTCGACGGACGATCGACGCCGCCCTGCCTGAAGATCTGACCCTTTTCATTGATGCCTCCATCACGATAGACTCGGCCGAATCAGCAAAGCTGGGCTCGCGGCTCGAGGCCGCATTGCCAGATCTCTGCGAGAGGATCAAACTTTCGAATATGATGAGTCGTGAAGCCTCACCATTACCCACGACAGCACCGGAGAGCGTTTCGACGCTTCTTCAAAGCGCCGCATCCTTCGCGACCATGTTCTCGCAGCTTGGGCCGATGCCCATTGCAGGCGGAGCGCCTCTCGACGTCTTGCCGCTCCCGAAGCTCCTTCTCAGCCCAGTGACTCCACGCCCCAGCTCGCTGGTTTACTGGCAGATTGACCGCGAAGTTCCCGTGGCGGTGCAGCCAGTGTTTATGCGCAAGGACTTGTTCCGACCCGACAGAACCTATTGGCTCTGTGGCTTGTCGGGAACGTTGGGCTTGTCCCTGGTTGACTTCCTTGCCGCTCAGGGAGCCAAGCACATCGCCATCAGCAGCCGCTCGCCCAAGGTCGACGTCGCGTGGGTGGCATGGCACGGAAAACGGGGGGTGGCGGTGTCGCATTTCGCGGGCGACGTGACTGATTACGCATCCATTCGCGGCACATATGACGCAATTCGAGCATCAGGCATGCCTCCGATTGGAGGTGTTGCCATTGGCGCCATGGTGCTGATCGACAGCAGCTTCATGGAGCAGCGATTCGAAGACTTCCAGGCGGTGCTGCGTCCCAAGATCCGGGGGACACAGAACCTGGACACGCTTTTCTCCGAAAGCTCGGGGGATCTGCTGCCTGGTGACACGGCCAAAGGGCTGGAATGGTTTGTGGCCTTCAGCTCCCTGATGGCTGTCACAGGCAACCCGGGCCAAGCACCGTACGGCGCCGGCAACTGCTTTCTGAAGGCTGTCACAAAGACTCGGCATGACCGTGGATTGGCCGGTTCGAGCATCGACATCGGCCGCGTGTCGGGCGTGGGCTATATCGAGCGGGAGCTCACGCGCGAGTCCCAGGAGCGACTCAAGCAGCGGTCCGGGACTATTCCCCTCAGCGAGTCGGATTTGCACCAGCTCTTTGCTGAGGCTGTGATTGCGGGTCGACCTGGATCAGGCGTTGAGGATCCCGGTCTGATCGCGGGCATTGGAATGCAACTCGGCGAACAAACTGAAGGGGCGTTCTGGAGCAAAAATCCGCGGCTCGCCATGATGATCCGCGACAGCAAACCGCGTGCCACCCGGGGCGCCCGGGAGGGGGGCTCCTCTGCGGTGCCGGTGCGGACACTGCTTGAAGTGCCAACTGTCAAGACGCTCGCAGATGCACGCGATGTCATTCTAGGAGCCCTCCGCGGCAAGCTTCATGCTGCTAAATTCCTCCCCGACCAGGACAGTCAACACAACAGCACACCCCTGGTGGACCTTGGGGTCGACAGCCTGATTGCTGTCAATGTGCGGTCGTGGTTCCAGAAGGAACTGGCGGTTGACGTCCCTGTCATGAAAATCTTGAGTGGAGCGTCCATGGCAGATCTTGTCGACTCAATCATCGAACGAGTAGTTCGAGATATGGCAGGGCCGCTGGAGAGCGAGCCGCAGCAGGCTCAGAGTTCAGACGGCGTGGTGTCTACTCAACCAGCTCCTGTGGAAACCGCCGTCATGTCGCAAAGCCAAACTGGGAAACAAGATGAGGCCATCAGACCGGTTGCCCTGGAGGAAATGAAAGAAGTTGGGCTCAATGGAACAGGTGCTGGAGCTAATGGGAACGTCGACAATCGTCAAGTGGCGGTTTTTGACTACGGAGTAGATTTGGACTAGTGAGAAAAGGCAGTTCAGGTTGATACAGAGTAATCTCCCGAGGTGTACTCGAGGTGTGTTGTTGGCTGATGGTGGGTTGCGTGGCCGGTCTTGATTCTACCATAATGTCAAGATTTAGGTATTTAGATTTAGGTATTTACCGTGCTGAAAGCAGCTTATTCACCTGAAGATTCAGTATTAGCAACGCCCCTCTCCGTCTCTCACTCCTGTTCGTCAGATATTCTTCTCTCGCCCCTCGAGTGCCCCTGGCTCCATGAGATCAACGCCCAGCCTCAGTGCCTCGGCCACCTCGGCAGATGGTCCCGTAAACCACCGATGGGCCCAGACTACCCACGAGCCAACGGCCAGAATGCTGAGAACGCCCACCGCAACAGCTGTGTAGTTGAACGTCTCGCTGGTGACCGGGTTGGCGGTCGGCAGGCAAAAGACAACAGTGATGAAGCCGATCCAGAGACAAGCCGCAGTTGCAATGGGCCTGGACAGCGCATGCAGGTTGAATGGACCCTTCATGGCTGTGAAGGACCTGTGGCATATCAAGCCGATGAGGATCGGCAATCCGTAACTCAGATACAGGCCGATGGTGGCGATGGATGTCGCTGCCGCGAATGCAACACTGGACCCAAGCGAAGGCAAGGCCAGGATAAACGAGAGTGTGGCAGAGAGCCACACAGCTCGAGTCGGGGATCGGAAGCGAGCATCCACTTTGTGAAAGAACGGGTGCTTGAGAGAGAGTCGGTCAGTAAGAGGTTTTCAGGGGTATCGAGAAGGAGACTGACAATCCCTCCGTCTCTCGCAAACGCGAACATCATTCTGCTGTTGCTTGTCATGCTGAAGAGTCCGCAGTGCCAGACGCAGACTCGAACCGAGTTAGCATATCGGCAATTCCAACCATTGCCTAGGGACAACTTACCCATAATCAAGGTAAACAATCCAAGTGCCCCGTCTTCACCGGCAACATCCACCAAGATCTGCAGGACCGGCTGTCCATACTGACTGTCCAACACCCTATCAAAATCTTGTACCGAGAACAAGAACGCCATCAATACAAAGAAGCCAAACAGCGCACTGAACCCCACGCTCGACACGACCCCAACCGGCGCGCTCCAGCTAGCCTTCTTGGTTTCCTCGCTCAGATGCGCCGACGCATCAAATCCGGTCAGGGTATACTGCGACAGCAGCGCGCCACACACAGCCACATACACATTGCTCGCCCTCACGCCCCACCCGTCAACGCCATCCACCCCCGTGCCGTCGCGGAAGTGGCCGAAGACGAACGATGCTGGCTGATGAGAGGGCGCCTTGGCGAGGACCGTGATGCAGATGGCCGTGATGCCCGCGCTGTGTAGCAGGATGGAGATATTGTTCAGGACGCGGAGTGTTCGCACACCGAACGTGTTGACGAGCGCATGTGAAAAGAGGATTGCGGCGTAGATGCCGATGGTGACGCGCGGGGTAGGGGTGAAATCCGGGTTCTTCACGGTTATGGCGGTGGGGATGAGGTTGGCGAGGCCGAAAGAGATGCCGGTTGTGACGGCTACCTGGAAGTGGTGTAAGCGGTTTGAGGCACCGGACAGGTGGAAATGGGAGTTGTACTTGTCCAAGGAGGTTGTACCATCCTGTGAGCCAGGCTGCAAAGGGCGACCAGCGAGGCGGTGCGAGCATGGCTGCCCAAAAGTAGGGTCCGCCGCTGGTAGGGATGGCCGAGACGATTTCTGCCATGGCGATGGCGACGAGGAGGGTGAAAAAGGACACGAGAATCCACCCAACCGACATGACTTCAAAGAAGTTGGCTCAGTTAGCTGGATTCCATCCCGGCATTGGGGCAAGGACGATACCTGCCGGCCCTCCCGTGTTCAGGCCATACGAGAAGAGTGTGGTGATGCCGGTGATGACGCTCTGAATATTGAATGGTCAGGGTTGGCCACAGCAGATGACAGGGAGCTCCTCAAGGACTCACAATGATAGAGAACGAGACACCAAAGTTGTGCGCCAGCCCCCAGTCCCGCTTCAGCTCCTGTTTGTATCCAAATTGCGCGAGACGGTCTTCATCGCCATCATGGTGTCTCTTCGAAGGTTGCCGCTCGACAGTTGGCTCATTGAGCGCCATGTTGCTCAAGCGAGTAAAGGACCAAACAATCACCCGGTAGACAAAATGCTGTTGGAGCTCAAGAAGCAAGATGATTGCCCTATATAACCAGAGATGGCATCACTGGGGTCAGTTAAACTTCAGGTATGTTACACCAGCCGGCGGGAATCTTCTGAATTATTCTCACGGGAAGGAGAGAGAATCTTGAACGTGGTTGGAACGCAAATGATAAGCAGATAGGTCACCTGCTCAATCTTGCAGCTTATCAGAGAGACAGCGACAACGGTCCATTCAGAGACCAAGGAGCTCACAGACTAACAGATTGTGTCCAAGCAAGCGGGGTAACCAACGAGGCGTCAGGGGTGGTACGCGGTGATTCGATAAGAGTGTGGATGTAACACAGCTCGGTGGTGGCTATTGGATGTGTAGCACAGGGGCCAGGGGAGAGAAAGGGCGCCCAGGATAAGACTTGGGGGTTATGAGCTTAAAGAATAACTTCACTGACAAAGAATCCACGAAAGCGATTGTACAAGGCCTGATTCTAGAGGTGATTCTCTACATGTTAGTGTCCGTACTCGCCACAATACTGCCCAGGTACTTGTACCTAGATAAGCCTCACTATCTTTTTCTCGTTACTATTGACAAACTACTGTATCTTCCATGAATCATGGACGTATTCGTCTGGGACGTATATGTCTTGTAGTCCAACTCGGATATATTCCTCCTGGTTTGCCGGGTTGGGCTTAGCCAGCGCTAGGAATGACTCATCCACCCTTACCATTGGATGAAGTAAAATTGCTCCCAACGAGAGGGATCACCAAGGCGCTTGGAAAAGCTCAAAACAAGAGTCTACGGATAGTGGCAGGAGCCTTCAAGTCCACACCCACTCGGAACCTTGAAACGGAGACATGGGGACCGCCACTGGACCTCTACTTCAACAAACGACTGGCTGACTTTGAGGCCCGGCTTCAAATGCCCACTCTGGCCGACGGCCGAGGCGGAAAGAAGACTGCAGGGAGTATTGTTCATGCGGCCTGCGGCAAGATATATCAGATATTCAACTCGAGGACGGATAACAGGGGC